CCGTCAGCGTTCAGAGGCATGTTCATCGCCACCAGACGCTGGGAGAGGAAGAGGAAGAATATGTGATCTTCTACAGTCACTGTACTCAGAATTAAACCACTGCAGGAAGGTCAGAGGTCAAATACCTGTTAAAGGATTGTCATCGTTCAGCAAAATTAAAACACGTCACATAACCTTCATCGGGCTGTTTTCAGTTTCTATATTAAAGCTTCAATATGTCAGATTTAGAGTCAGTGTGACCTTTATGCTCCCGAGTGCCTCCTCTCTCCGCTTCCCTACAGTGCCAACAGTGGGCAGTCCACAACACAGAGTCCAGCACAGAGTCCAACACAGAGTCCACAACACAGAGTCCATCACAGAGTCCACAACACAGAGTCCAACACAGAGTCCACAACACAGAGTCCAACACAGAGTCCAACACAGAGTCCACAACGCAGAGTCCAACACAGAGTCCAACACAGAGTCCACAACACAGAGTCCAACACAGAGTCCAACACAGAGTCCACAACACAGAGTCCAACGCAGAGTCCAACACAGAGTCCAACACAGAGTCCAACGCAGAATCCAACACAGAGTCCACAACACAGAGTCCACAACACAGACTCCAACACAGAGTCCAACACAGAGTCCACAACACAGAGTCCAACACAGAGTCCAACACAGACTCCAACACAGACTCCAACACAGAGTCACAACACAGAGTCCACAACACAGAGTCCAACACAGAGTCCACAACACAGAGTCCCCAACACAGAGTCCAACACAGAGTCCACAACACAGAGTCCACAACACAGAGTCCACAACACAGAGTCCACAACACAGAGTCCAACACAGAGTCCACAACACAGAGTCCAACACAGAGTCCAGCACAGAGTCCAACACAGAGTCCACAACACAGAGTCCAACACAGAGTCCACAACAAGAGTCCACCACAGAGTCCAACACAGAGTCCAACACAGAGTCCAACACAGAGTCCACAACACAGAGTCCAACACAGAGTCCAACACAGAGTCCACAACACAGAGTCCAACACAGAGTCCACAACACAGAGTCCACAACACAGAGTCCATCACAGAGTCCACAACACAGAGTCCACAACACAGAGTCCACAATACAGAGTCCAACACAGAGTCCACAACACAGAGTCCAACACAGAGTCCAACACAGAGTCCACAACACAGAGTCCAACACAGAGTCCACAACACAGAGTCCACAACACAGAGTCCAACACAGAGTCCACAACACAGAGTCCACAACACAGAGTCCAACACAGAGTCCAGCACAGAGTCCAACACAGAGTCCAACACAGAGTCCAGCACAGAGTCCAGCACAGAGTCCAACTCTGATTGGGCTTTTAGCTGGATAACATTAGCCTGCTAGTTGGCTAACGTTGTTGATTGTTGATAACAGTGTTGATTTAACAACAATAATGTAGCTGTACAAAGCTAACGGTTGTTTTCTACTAGCTAGAGCGATGCAAGCCAGGGGCATCCAGCTAGCTAACTGTAGCTAAGCTAAACGGCCACTCTGCAGAATGGCCAATGGTGGCGCTGTTAGCTACAGTTTAATGGGAGTTACATCGAGAAGCTTTCAATCATCAGTTATGTGACACGTTTTAATTTTGGCCGGGTTATTTTATCCCACATATTAATACACACAAGTCAGTATATTACCCAGAATTCACAGCACGCGTATTTTACCTTACAGGCCACTCGGTGAGGACAGAGCTTCCCAAAACCCAGAGGAGGCTGAATCCTCCTGAGCAGAGCCACAACGTCTAGATGTTTGATACGACCCCTGAGAGAGGACATATTGATCACTAACAGTATATAGACTGATATATTGATCACTAACAGTATATACACTGATAAATTGATCAGCAGTAACAGTATATACACTGATATATTGATCACTAACAGTATATAGACTGATATATTGATCACTAACAGTATATACACTGATATACTGATCACTAACATTATATAGACTGATATATTGATCACTAACAGTATATACACTGATATACTGATCACTAACAGTATATACAGTGATATATTGATCAGCAGTAACAATATATACACTGATATATTGATCAGCACTAAAACTGTGAGCACTGGACTCCCTGACTGGTCCCAGACCAGCAGACTACTCTGCACTGTGTTCTGACCCCTTTCTATCAGAACCAGCATTAAATGTTTCAGCAGTTTGAGCTACAGTAGCTCGTCTGTTGGATCGGACCACACGGGCCAGCCTTCACTCCCCACCTGCATCAATGAGCCTCGGCCCCCCATGACCCTGTCTCTGGTTCTGTTCCTTCCTTGGACCACTTTTGATAGGTACTGACCTCTGCAGACCAGGAACCCCCCACAAGAGCTGCAGGTTTGGAGATGTTCTGACCCAGTCGTCCATCACAATGTGGTTCTTGTCAAAGTGGATCAGATCCTCATGCTGCCCATTTTTCCTGCTTCTAACACATCAACTCTGTTCACTGTCTGCCTGATATACCCCCCCCTCCCCCACTGACAGGAGCCCTGATATACCCCCCCACTGACAGGAGCCCTGATATACCCCCCCACTGACAGGAGCCCTTATATATCCCCCCCACTGACAGGAGCCCTGATAACCAGATAATCAGTGTTATTCACCGGCAGTGCTCACTGTTTTTCTTATTTTCTTATTTTATTATTTTATTATTCTTTATTCAGTCAATTTAAGTAAATTTAGAACAAATTCTCATTTACAAAAATAAATTATGTCATCGTATTATATAATCTGATCATATATACGTATACATATATATAAACATACTTGGCCTCTGGATCATATTCAGACCAGATCCTCTTAAACTCATCCAAATGATGCGGCCCCAGAATCGACCAATCACGTGTCAGATAGTCAAAGTTGTCCATGATGACGGCGACAAACAGGTTAATGATCTGAAGGAGAAACAAACAGTCAGTGTTTGTGTATAAATGTGTATTACTCGTGTTGTGGGACATATATCTGCTTACACACTCACATTATGGGTACCTGCCAACCTTGGGGATACAGTGTAAATCATTAAACTTTAAGACAGTGTATGTGAGTGTGTGTGTGTTTGTCATTGACAGTTTACATAACAGAAAGAGTTCTGGGTCTGTGAAGTGAAGCCAATGTGGAAGTGTGTTAAACCTGCATTCTCTCTAAGGCTACATTCAGACTGCAGGTAAATGTGACAGTCTGAACAGCACAAATACGATACAGTTTTATTTTTATAGCGCCAATTCATAACAGAAGTTATCTCAGGACACTTTTCAAATAGAGCAGGTCTAGACCAAACTCCTTATAACAATACAAAAATCTAATAAAAATTAAAACCAACTCCTCAGTAGCACTAAATAAGAGAATGAAATGTGGGCTGTTAAATATCAGGTCTCTAAAGCTGTTTTAGTGAATGAATTAATATCAGATTATGATATTGATTTACTTTGTCTTACTGAGACCTGGTCGTCCCACGAGGAGTATGTTAGCCTAAATGAATCCACCCCCCCCAGTCATATTAATACTCACATTCCTCGAGGCACTGGCCGAGGAGGTGGAGTAGCAGCCATATATGATTCGAGCGTTTTAATGGACCCTAAACCTAAACTAAATTATAATTCATTTGAAAGCCTTGTTCTTAGTCTTTCTCACCCAAACTGGAAAACACTGCAGCCAGTTCTATTTGTTATAGTGTACCGCGCAAAACCTCCTACAGCAGATGTCTATCTGACAGTGCTGTAGCAAAATTTAAGGAGGAGATTCCTTCAGTGTTTAATTCAATGCCATGTCTGAATTTAACAGAGTCCTATAACGACTTTAGTCCCTCTAAAATTGATAATCTTGTCGAAAGTGCTGCAGGCTCACTACGATCAACATTAGACTCTATCGCTCCTATAAAAGGGAAATTATTAAAACATAGGAGACTAGCACCTTGGTATAACCACCAAATCCGCCAGTTAAAGCAAATAGCTAGGAAATCTGAAAGGAAATGGCGCTCTTCCAAATTATCAGAATATCGCTCAATTTGGCAAGATAATCTTAAAACTTATAGAAAGGCCCTCCGTAACGCCAGAGGAGCCTATTACTCAGCACTAATAGAAGAAAATAAGAATAACCTTCTTCCACAATAAAATTATTACTATTAGAGAGAAAATTAATCACCAACTGCCATCAACAGTTATCAGTGGCTCTCCAAGTTCAGGGACTTTTACTAATGTAAACTTAGATATGTATTTAGACTGTTTTTCTGCTATCAATCTTTATCAGTTAACTTCAATCATTTCTTCATCGAAGCCATCAACCTGTCTGTTAGACCCGATCCCAACTAGGCTGCTTAAAGAAGTTGTTCCCTTAATTGGCACTTCTTTACTGGATATGATTAATCTTTCTTTATTATCAGGATATGTACCACAGTCCTTTAAAGTAGCTGTAATTAAACCCCTTCTTAAAAAGCCCACTCTTGACCCAGGGGTTTTAGCCAACTATAGACCAATCTCTAACCTCCCCTTCCTCTCTAAGATTCTGGAGAAAGTAGTCGCAAAAGAGTTGTGTGACTTTCTACATAACAATAGTTTATTTGAGGATTTTCAGTCAGGATTTAGAGTTCATCATAGCACAGAGACAGCTCTGGTTAAAGTTAATAATGACCTTCTGATTGCTTCTGACAATGGACTTGTATCTGTACTTGTATTATTAGATCTTAGTGCTGCATTTGACACCATTGACCATGATATTCTTTTACAGAGACTTGAGCATCAAATTGGCATTAAAGGAAGCACACTAAGCTGGTTTAAGTCATATTTATCAGATCGTTCGCAGTTTGTACATGTTAACGATGAATCTTCAATAAATACTACAGTTAGTCATGGAGTTCCACAAGGTTCTGTACTTGGACCAATACTATTTACTCTATATATGCTCCCTTTAGGCAACATTATTTGGAATCACTCCATTAACTTTCACTGTTATGCAGATGATACGCAGTTATATCTATCGATCAAGCCCGATGAAATTAATCAATTATCTAAATTACAAACATGTCTTAAGGACATAAAATCCTGGATGAGCTGCAATTTTCTGATGTTAAACTCAGAAAAAAACAAAATTCTTGTTCTTGGCCCCAAAAACCTTAGAGACTCACTTTCTAAAGATATAGTTACTCTAGATGGCATTACCTTGGCCTCTAGCACCACTGTCAGGAATCTTGGAGTTATCTTTGATCAGGATTTGTCTTTTAACTCCTACATGAAGCAGACCTCTAGGACAGCCTTCTTTCATTTACGTAATATTACAAAAATTAGACACATACTATCACAGACAGATGCAGAAAAACTAATCCATGCATTTGTTACTTCAAGGCTGGATTACTGCAACTCTTTATTATCAGGTTGCCCCAATAAGTCCATTAAAACGCTCCAATTAATTCAGAATGCTGCAGCACGAGTACTGACAGGAACTAGGCAAAGAGATCACATCTCTCCTGTACTAGCTTCTCTGCACTGGCTCCCTGTAAAATGTTGAATAGAATTTAAAATCCTCCTCCTCACCTATAAAGCTCTTCATGGTCAGGCCCCTTCATATCTTAAAGAGCTCATAGTACCCTATTACCCCTCTAGAACACTACGTTCTCTGAATGCTGGGCTACTTGTGGTTCCTATAGTCTCTAAAAGTAGAACAGGAGCCAGAGCCTTCAGATACCAAGCTCCTCTCCTGTGGAACCAGCTTCCAGTTGTGCTTCGGGAGGCAGACACCCTCTCCACATTTAAGAGTAGGCTTAAGACGTTCCATTAACAGCTCTATCCAAGATGTTTTCCATGTTGCGGTGTATAACCACCGTCAGTGCGCTGACAGCTCTTTCCAAGGTGTTTTCCATGTTGCGGTTTATACCCACAGTCTGAGCGTTAACAGCTCTGCTCACTTCATCAATCATGTCGGGCAGCTTCATGGGGCTTTGTAGACACACAGGAGCCAAAGGATCTGTCCTAGGTTTCTGCCTTTTAACAGGCAGTTTTTCCTTGCCCTTGTCGCCAAGTGCTTGCTCATGGTGGTACTGTTGGGTCTCTGTAAATAATGTTATAAAGAGTTCGGTCTAGACCTGCTCTATTTGAAAAGTGTCCTGAGATAACTTCTGTTATGAATTGGCGCTATACAAATAAAATTGAATTGAATTGAATTGAATTGAATTGGAGTCTGATGGCGGGCGCTTTTAAATTATAATGTGAACAACCACGCAAAAAAATCGGAATTGAGCATTAAGACCTGCAGTGTGAACGTAGCCTTAAAGCCAGCAGGGCTCCACTCTGATAGTATTGAGTCTTATGGAGAAGTTGATTCATTATCTCAGTAAACGGTTTCCTGATGAGTTTCAGTCTTCTTCCATAGAGCATGATGATGAGTGTGGCTGTAGAACCAACAACCTTCCGATTAGTAGACGACCCTCTCTACCTCTGAGCCATAGCTGTGTGTGTGTGTGTGTGTGTGTGTGTGTGTGTGTGTGTGTGTGTGTGTGTGTGTGTTCGGACCAGGAAAGCACACAGCATGAAGAAGCTAATGAAGTAAACAATGGCGAAGTTGCTGCCGCAGCTGAACTCCTCTCCCGGTTCATAGTCGGACTCAGGGTCGCAGCGTTTACCCGGAAGGCTCGCCAACATGATCTCCTGCCACGCCTCACCTGTAGCACACCTGTACACACACACACACAGGTAAAATAACCACAACGAAGAGAAAACCATATTGCATTGAATACCCTGAAATGACCACAACCTGAAGCCTGAGTTAACTGCGTAACTGAGCTGTTAGCCGTTAGGTAGCAGCTTCAACTTATTGGATGTCTGTTCTTGTACATCTGACATGTAATCGAGTACTTCATGAAGTTGTTGAGATTAAAAACACGAATCTGAGGTAGAAAGTTTGACTTTTAGTCCAAAAATACTAAATTCTACAACTCCCATAATGCATTACTGCACAGTGTCTTTTATTAGAGGTCAGCCAGAGGAAGAGACAGAGGATCTGACCTGAAGAGGAGGAGAACAGCCTGTGGAAATGTCTGGAAGTTGTTGTTCCTGTTGATCTGAGTGTGATCCTGCATCGCGACCTTTCCAAACGTCTGACAGACATGCAGACAGACAGACAGACAGACAGACAGACAGAGGGTATGTCATTAAAGGGATGCTGAGAGCTGCTTCCTGTCTCTCAGTCCACGCAGCCATACATGATTTTACTTTATCCTCCACAACCCTTTGGCGACTCCCAGGTTGAGAACCACTGCTTTAGGAAACATCGTTGTCTGCTAGATTGCTGAAGTTTCCATAAACACAAAGTCTGAAATCTGGATCCCAGTTGTGGATCAGATCAGTGCGCCCCTACAGGAGCACCTGTATATGAACTCACCTGCATCCCGATGACGGCGTAGATGAAGAAGATCATGGCGATGAGCAGAGCGACGTACGGCAGAGCCTTAAGAAAGAGAGAGAGGAGGTTAGACTGCTGCACTCCTCCCTGTAAGCCACGCCCCTCTCCCGGTTACCCCTCCCCTGCACTCCATATAAGCCCCGCCCCGGGTTAGCCCCGCCCTCTGACCTGTAGTGATTTGATGAATGTCCACAGCAGTGTACGAATACCCTCGCCTTTACTCAGCAGCTTGACCAATCGCATCACTCGAAACAGACGGAAGAAGGTGATCGACACCCGAGAGCTGTCTTCCCCACTCTGACAGACAGACAGACAGACAGACAGACATTTACAGTGAGTCTCACTATAAGAATTTCCCCATTGGGGATTAATAAAGTATATCTTCTTCTTCTTCTTAACTTTAATTACATCCAACAAATTCAACATAATATCATTTGACAGTACTTCATAAACCCCGCCCCTTTTTGCTCTGTCCTCCAAGTTGAGAAAGCCTCTGTCAACTTCCTCCTTTCCTGTACTTAGATATGCTATATGCTAGGCTAATCAATGTTGAAAAGACAACCACATTTTGAAGACGGTTACATCGTTAGCATTAGATAGCTAGTTGGTTGGCTAGTTGCTACAGTGCAAAGCACTAGCATACTAACATAATATTATATATTTATCTTTAGCTAGCTAGTTATTTCTGATGGTTAATGTTAGAAAAATGCTACCTAATTAGCCAGCTAACAATTTCTGTAGATTAGCCAGGAAAGAAGAACAGCGACAGCGGTTATAAAAGGGTAGGGACTGAGGAAGGGTCAATTTAGCATCAACAGCTCCATGTTTCCTCCACTATAACTCAGTTTTACAACATAATAATCTAAAACAAGTGAGTGAAAATCACTGTTATATATTTCCAAGTTCACATAAATTATTTGATGTATTTTAATAGTGTTTGTGACACACTGAATAACAGCAGAGGGCAGCGCACAGATTACAGCCTCGACTGCATACATAACTTTTACCAGCAGGAACATCTTGTTGATGTCTGTTGTGTACAGACCGGCTGACAGCCAATCAGAATCGAGTACTCACACTGAACTCGGTGACGACAATGTCGACAACACTGCCGACCACAATGAGAGCATCGAACGAGTTCCAGGCGTCTATAAAGTAATGCTGGAAGAAAAAAGAGACACACTGGAATAAATGCACAAAAATACGAGACTATCCGAGATGGTGATACGTTTGTATCTGTCAAAGATACGGACAGTATGCCTAAGATTACAGTCGGGATGTTTCAGATATTTTATTTTTATATAATATAATATGATGTGACAAATCTGGATATATTTCCATTAACTCATTTACCATTGGATCTTTCTGCATACAGGTAATTTTTGTCCAGTGTCAGAACGAACATTTATCTTCAGGTCTAACCCAACAATAAGTTGAACCTGGTGTACCCCAGGGGTCAATGTTTGGTCCTAATTTCAATGATCCACTAAATGTTCATAAACTGACATCTGATACATATATATATATTTTTTAGACGACTCTGTAGTATTTTTTTATAATCACAGAAACCTTAAAGCTGTTATTCAATTTTACTGTCAACAAATTCCATGTTTACACTCAAACAACAAAATGTTGGTCCATCTCTCAGTACTGTCTGACTTCCTGACTTATATAGTTTGGTGTTTAAAAAGTTTAAAAAACAATAGTTGTTAGTAGATACATTCACTGTTGGTTTGACTGAACATAAAGAGATATACAGAATATCACCAGAGTTGTAGTTATTTTGCAGCTGTGTTCGGTTTTCTCACCCTGAGTCTGAGAGCGAGCAGCTTAAGCAGCATCTCCACAGTGAAGAGTCCAGTAAACACCATGTTGAGGATGTCCATGACATGGCTAAAGGTTTTGGACTGTTCATAATGCTGCAGGAGAGAAAATATCAGTTGTAAGAAAACATGAGGCAGCAGAGCAAGTACTGTTAGTGTTCATCAGGTGAGACGGTTTTATTCACCTGAACAGCCAGAGTTACGGTGTTGAGCAGGATGAGGACGAACATGACATACTCGAATCCTGTGGAGTTAATGATGGACCAGAACTTATACTGAACTGGATTCTTTGGGATGTAAAGTTTCAGTGGCTGAGCCTTCAGAGCGTACTCCACACACTGCCTCTACAGAGAGACAGACAGGAAGGGTTAAAGGGGTTCTGCTTTTCCTCAGTGTCATATCTACAATGCTACACTGTGGGACGTTGATATTAAATGAGGCCAAAGTGTCAAATAATGACAGAAATGTATCTGTTTCTCTGGATACAACATTTCCAACTTCTGTTTCTTCTTTAGGTGACTAGCCGACATCTGAAGTGTGTTTTTGTACAAGATGAAATCGTGTTTTTGTCTAAAAGTTGAAGATTGATTGATGAGTAGATGTCCTGATATTAGAGGTTGAAATTGCTTTAGTTCATACTTACGTAAGAGCAAGACACATTTTGTTTTACAGGAAGAAAAGATTACTGGATTTTGATATAAAAATACAAAGAAATAGATTTTTTTGTACCTGTTTTGCATACATTGTTAAATAGAGGTACAGACTGACTGGAGGTGTGAAGGGTTAAAAAGACATTTTCTATTTGGACTTGATTGACTAAAGTTGATTACAATGCAGGTGTGAGAGTTTACCTGGTTCTTGTCCAGCTCACAGTTCTTGTACTCCTGCTCTCCCTGCTCCCTGAAGGTGATGATGACGAAACCCACGAAGATGTTCATCATGAAGAAAGCGATGATGATGATGTAGACGATGAAGAAGATTGAGATCTCCACTCGGTAGTTGTAGATGGGACCAGAGTTCTCCCCGTTAGCATCAATGGCTTTATACAGCAGCCTGGAGAGAGAGGGCTTAAATGGTTCTGTTCTGAGTGGGGTGGTAATAAAATTGTTAGAAATGAATAATACTCACGCGGGCCAACCCTCAAAGGTGGACACGGTGAAGAGTGCCATCATCCCCATCAACACGTTGTCAAAGTTAAATTCGCTGTTCAGCCAGATTCTCTCTCTGACCATCGGATGGCTCACGTCTCCGTCTTTATACACCACAAAGGTCCCTCTGAACACACAGACAGTAACGTCATATCTCTATGGAACAGAAAATACCTTGTTAACACGTCGATTTTGGACGTCTAAAGGCATTTGGACCGTTAGACTTCCATGGTATTGGTTGGCACCAACTTACCCACCCCTTTTTGTGCTCCAATACTGTCATGTAGTGGTCACATAGGTGAAGACACCACATTCAATACAAGGTAGGTCGAGTGGGTTTCCCCTCAGAAAATTATGAAATAGTCACACTCAATTTAAAATGCCTTTAAATTGGGCTTTAAATGTCCACAATTTACGTGTTAACAGGATATTCTCTAACGTCTTTACATTGCATATATCTCAGTGTTTAAAACTGACGTTGGTTTCAGAGTTGAAGAATTAAAAACTTACTTGCACTGTTCAGGAGTGTTTTTGGCCTCGTCTGTGCAGCGATAAAATTTACCCTGAAACACAAACAGGAAATGTGACGCATTAACTCAGGTGAGTCAGAAACAGGAAGTCAGCAGTCAGAGGGTTGTCACAGGAGAAGAAGGAAGAAGGTGAAGAGAAATCAAAATTCTAACTCACCTTGAAGAGTTGGACTCCGATGCAGGCGAACATGAACTGTAGCAGAGTTGTGACGATCATGATGTTTCCGATCGTCCTAATGGCCACGAACACACACTGGACCACATGCTGCAACACACACACATTAAACATGAGGGAGTGTTTCTCATATTTCCTCTGAAGACATTAGCCTTTCTTTTCTGGACTAACTGCTGATCCTGACTTCTGGTCTGAGACAAAAAAAGCACTCTCTGAATCTGTGTGTAGGATTTAGTGCCATCAGATCACAACTCCCTCACTTCACCCTCCCCTTCCAGTGCGAAAGGGAAACTACGGTGACCACACAGCCCTTAGAAAAAAAGAACCGAGCTACCTTAAGTCCTTTGGCTCTGTTGATGGCTCTCAGAGGTCGGAGCACCCGGAGTACTCTGAGGATCTTCACCACAGAGATTGCACTGGAGCTACAGACATAAAACAACACAGAGTCAGTCGGCAGCTCAGATTAACTGGAAAAATACACAACATTTACTCTAAGTACCTAAGTACTTAAAGTAAATGTAAATAAAATCCTGTAAAGTGCCCTTGATTGTTGACTGTTTATTTTATGTCTTTTCTATTATTACTTACTTAATTTTTTATTGCCTGTTTGCACCGTGGGTCAGAGAGGACTGCAATTTCATCTGTGCTGTATGTCATGCATGTATAGCATATTTGACAATAAAGCTGACTTTGACTTTGACTTTTGACAAAAGGATAATTTTGAGGTAAATATCTTACTTTTTTACTTCCACAAACTCCTCCTAAACCAGCAAATCATCCACCTTTTGCCCAAATTGTTTCTCTGTGTGTAACAAGGCTGCTGGTGTTGAAAAGTTAATCAGATACTGACTGAAGGAAGAAGGAGACCAGTGAGACGCTGACGACCAGCAGATCCAACAAGTTAAACCAGTTTCTGCAGAACGAGCCCTGGTGGAGGAACGCTCCGTGGACGGTCATCTGACAGAGAGATATAACGTCAGCATTACATCCAGAGCACAGGACATTTTATTATTTCATCCTAACTGAAGGTGATTTTTACCTTTAACAGAATCTCCACAGTGAAGATGGAGGTGAAGGCGTAGTCTGCATAACCCAGAATCTACACAAACAAACACAAATACACTAGTAAATACACACAACACATAAACAGAGATAGAAAGTAAACAGTTCCAGATTATTTTAAGTTTTACTACAGAATGGAAAATAACCCCAAAATCTGCCCCAGGGTTTGTCTATAAGGGGGTTCAGAAATGTGTCTTCCCATCACAATCTCTAGGCTCTGAGATCTTAAACACAGAGTGGGGACACAATCTTTGGTCTTGAGCTCAGACTGTCTTACATCAACACAGGGAAGTCTCAGGTCAGGACCAACACAACCGAAGCCCAAACAGATGAGTCAAAATTTACAAAAGGTAAGTTAAAGTCAAGAGTCCAGTTAAAGAATCAACAAGTCAAAAGGGGAAAGTCCCAAGACCAGCACATCTCTGGTCCAGACCAGTAAGTCCCTACTGAATACTATCAAGTCCCAAGACAGATGAGTTCCTTGTACAGACAGGTAAGTCCTAAGGCATGAACAACAAGTCCCAAAGATTTGTTGAGACTGCGTGCTCGTATATCTCTTAAATTATTTTAAATTACTATTTTTAAATTAAAGCAAAACTTAAAATATCCAGAATTTCATAATGTTACATTATACATATATTGGGTCTAAATGTTGTTACCAAATAAGAAGCAAGACATTTCTGAATAAAATACGTGACAGGGTCATCATATTATTCAGCCTACTTTACAAAAAAGAAGCGACTGCCTCCGCTTTATTGCTGAAAACATTGAATGATGTCTGATTGGAATTGATTTTAAACCAAAATTGTTCACATCGACTGGATCAGGAGATTTTGACTATGGTAACGGCTGCAGTCGCTAGGCTAGTTCCTTCAAATTTCTGTTTTAAGTTTTGATTTTTTTTGTTTTATGGCTGAATCAAGTATTACCTCAGACAGAAACAGCCTACAGTCATCAGAAAAAGAAGCTGGGGTTTGGATTACAGAATAGCGGACTTTGAGCCAGATCAGCCCCAAGAGGAGAGGAAGAGAGCTTGGACTTAAGGTTGCTCCTGGCAAGTCCAGTCCGGACCAAATGGGACTCAGGCTAGTCATCAGAGGCTGCTCCATCAACATCCCAGATCCTCGGCAGTCGGACCATGTTCCTCTCCGACCAAGCGCAGGAGGAGAGATGGCGGGCTCTGTGTTTACATTGATAATGCTCGGTCCTGACACTATTTTTATGTTCAATTCAATTCAGTTTTATTTGTATATCACCAATTCATAACAGAAGTTATCTCAGGACACTTTTCAAATAGAGCAGGTCTAGACCGAACTCCTTATAACATTATTTACAGAGACCCAACAGTTCCACCATGAGCAAGACCTTGGTGACAGCGGCAAGGAAAACTTCCTTTTAAATGAAGATGAAACCATATTATCATCCATATCTTGTTGCTGCTGTTACTCAAATTAAAAAGATGATCTGCACAACTATTTCCTGTATGGACATAAATATAAATAACTGTATTTATTGATTTTATTGATTTTATACGTTATTTTGTGCATTTAACTATACAGTATTTTTCTGTTTGTGTAGCATTTAGGAACTAAACATTTTTCATGATGCAATCTTCTGTTGTATAATGATAATACAATTCTTTGATAAGAGTTTTTGTCCAGAACAGAGGAGGCTCATACAGGGTTAACGTTCGAGTGTGTGTTCATACAGTGTGTGTGTGTGTTAATGGTATGTTGTAAGTAATTTGTCTCCTCAGCTGCTGCTAATTGCTACGTCTTGCATGACGACAGCTGCTGCACAGCCAGTGTGTGTGTGTGTGTGTGTGTGTGTGTGTGTACAGTTTTCTCAGCATCAGACAGTAAACTGGTGATTTTCTCTCTCCGTGCGTTTCCACGTGTTTCCCTCTTTAACCCGGTTAGTCACTGACCCACTTCTGCTGTGTAATCTGCTGAAGCCCCCCCCGGCTCAAACCACAGACCACAATCTGCTCCGATTCAGAGCAAAAAACTTCCATCACCTCAGTTTTCACTTTCATTGTTAGCTTAGCCATTGACCATGCTTAACAATGCTAGTTTGTTTTTATTCAATGCATTTAATTTGAACTTTTGTGATTTATCTGTAAGTGATGTAACTCTTCTTCATACCAGGAACCAATCAACAGCCATTAGATCACATGTTAGCATGTTCCAGCTAGCAGCTACACGTCGACACATGCGATGATGTTGTTGTGGACTCACGTTGTTCCTGAAGGAGTGGGCTCTGATTGGATCCTCAGCAGCCAATGAGCAGCTGCTGAGGATGATGAAGACGAGGATGAGGTTGGTGAAGATGTGGTGGTGGATCAGAGTGTGACAGGCCACACGAATACTGGAGACAGACAGACACAGACAGACAGACAGAGAGAGAGAGAGACTGTTACTGGTAATTTTACTTGCCCCTTTTTATTTATTATGAAATAACGTCCTCCGTAGTTTCGACCAGAGCAGTGGGATGCTGTCAACCCTTCAGTACAGCGACTTCATAAACCGCCACCTCACTCTGAAACTTTAAGCAAGTTAGTTTCACCCTCAACCTGTAACGCAGTGGTTCTCAACAGCGGACAGAATAATAAAGTGATTACATAGAGAGCTGGTAATGTGTACATATTTAACTGCACTACTCTCGCCCACATCAATGCACTCACTGCACTATTGATAATACTGATTTACATGTAATTTGTGCATAGTTTAATATTGTTAAAAAACATTTGTTTTACTTTAAACCAGGATTACCTGTGTCTCCCATGTTTGCTCTGGATTTTGAGCTGGTTTGTGACTAAATGGGGGCTCCTCTAAAGAAATGGCCTAGTTTGTCCACTATTGGTCAGCTCCTGGTAGCTCAGTGATTTAAGGAATTCTGTTCCAGGAAAAGAGTTACTAGCCCAGTGTGGCATTTTACTTGCCCCAAGCAAGCAGGCAGTCTTTATTGTTGAATATAAATATATGAAAATATTAATATGTATCAGTGCTTAGAAAGGGTCTGGTTACGCTCAAAAATAAGTAGTGTCAAGTGTAAGATGTGTTGTCCAATGACGTCAGAAGACAAAAGGAAATATAAAACATGGAGGTTTCATCATTTCACAGACAGTAACAGAGGTTACTCTACTTGTTATGCTAATGCTAATGCTAACAGTAACACAGGTTGAGCAGGTGTAGTCAGACTTACGGGTTTGTCTTGCTCAGGCAGAAGAACGCACTGCCTTCTGGGATTGGAAGAATCTTCTCTTTAGGAGGAGCCAGGTCGGCCATCTTTAGCTGGACTCCTCCATCTGCCCAGAGGAGAGAAGACGGGAGACAGTCAGTATCGTAAGAGACTGAACAATATCTTCAGTATGTCGCCTCGCTGTATTAAATAATATATTATTGCATTATTATTAATATAATAAATGCTTCCAACAAAGACTCTCTGCCATCCGCAAACTCAAAGCTCTTTCTGTCACCTTCTGCTGCTGCTCTATAAAAGTATTGTACAACCCATTCTCCACTGTTCTACCTGTTTCTTTAACCTGTTAACTGCCTCCAATAGGAACAATTAGACCTCAACAGCAACGCAATCACACGCAGAGCACACGACCCCAGGCACCCCCTCAACCCCTTTATCCCAGCCGACCGCAGATACAGATCACTGGCCTGCAAACAAGCTCAGAAGTTTCATCCCTTCTGCCAAAGCGAGCTCAACAAAACCCTCCGGTAGTCGTTGTGTTTAGATGTTTGTGCTGTGTTTAAATGTCTATCCTGTAGTAATGTGGTGTTTATACGTGTATGTAGAGACTGTGGCAACAAATTTCCCGAAAAGAACGATGAAGAATCTATCTATCTATCATATACAGGACAGAGCTCTGTAAATGTGCAGCAAGCTAAAAGGCTAATGTTCATCTGTAGAACCTGTTTTTAACTTTATTGATTCTTCATGTTGACACTTTTCTGCCTTCATTGAATGCATTCATTTGGTTTTGACGGTGTCCAACATATCACTGCGTTCCTGTGGCGCCATTGGAGGAGGACAAACTCTCTAAACGACTGTTCGGTTCACGGTTCTCAAATCGATCAAATGGAGTCCCAGGGGTTGTAAAAAAATCTGCATATTTATCTTTTTTTTGTTGGGCAGCTTCTCTGCCTCAACTCTCAGGTTTACTGATGGACGTTTACTGGTAGCTATTAGCTAACCACTAACTGTTAACAGAGTGGGATGTGAACGCTCCTGTGCTGGAGATTAAACCCCGACACTGCCCCGATGCTCTGAGCTCCCCGTCCGGACAGAGTCATCTCATAGGAAGTTATGTTAGCTGCACTGCTACCTCTGTAAAGCACTGACAGTTGATGCAGAGCAGCCGCAGGACATCCTATTTTCTCTCTTTACGTCATTTGTTGTTTTCCGAACTGACCTTCCTCTCCTTCAGGGAGCTCCTCTTCCTCCTCGTACTCGGTGTCTCCATCGATGTCAACCTGGAGAGACAAACAGTGAGACTGATGGACTCAACCGTTTAAGATTCAGGATTTAAAGTCGGACCTCTGTGTTCACCTTCACTTCTTCCTCTTCAGCCTCCTCCTCCTCCTCCTCCTCCTCCTCCTCCTCCTCCTCCGCTCCCTCCGTCTTCTTCCTAGTGAAACAGGAAACAGACGGGAAATAAGAAACAACTCTCCTCTTTTTCTTTATTTCCCTCCGTGCCTTCATCACTCACTCTTTACTCTTGTCGTCTCCGTCTCCCCCTGCCAGGTTGTCCACAGCAATGGCCAAGAAGACGTTCAGCAGGATGTCTGACACACGTTAAGAACAACATGACACTCACATTGCACAGGAACGGTTTCTTTCCTGCAGCACCTGAACGCACCTTAACCAGAGGAACGTTTTCCTTGATTAACAGAAGTTTCAGCCAATCACAGTCAGTTGCGTTTATATATATTTATATATATGCACTTATTTTTATAACTATATTGTTTATTTTCACTGTCTTTGTTCTGTCTTCACATATTTACTGTCAATAAAGATGATTCAAAACGCTGAAATTCAAAATTTACTCCAGTACTTTTTACTTTGAAATTCTTTACTTGGTTATTTCCATTTTATGCTGCTGTACACTTGGACTCCACTTTATCTGACAGCTTTAATTCCTTTGCAGACGTTAGTCCTGCAGATAAAACCATGATCTCACATTTATCTCTCAGTTTTAACATTTGACCTCTAAACGCCTCACATGGTTTCATCTGAATAACTGTTGGAGGCTCAAAGAGGTAAACTTGTTAAATAGTTCACAAAGAGAGTCCAAGAAATGTTCAAATGAATCAGAACTGTCAGATTGATCAGCTTTTACGTCTGATATTGTAAGTTTATCGAGTATGTATAAGTATGTTAGTACTTCCTCCTCCGCTGGATGAAGGATACAGTTACCGCAGATGAAGAGGATGACGAAGTAAACGCAGACGATCATCCCTGGAAACACGGGGCCGCCGTACGCCATGATGCCGTCGTACATCACCACGTTCCAGTCTTCACCCGTCAGGATCTGAACACACAGCAGTGACATCACTGATCAGCTCGCTAACGTTATCGCTAGCAAAATACACTATTTATACTATATTATATATATTTTAGAATATACTATAAATAAAGTATATTGTGGAATGAGGAATACATTTACTTTTACTTTGTATATAGGTTCTTATTATATTTAAATTTGATTACTTACTGTTAGATATTGTAACATTAAGTGTTATTTATATTCTTTAACATGTGTGAGTAGAACAACTGGGATCAATAAAGTATTTCTGAGTGGCTATGTTAGCTGGCTAACGTTAGGTTCCCCAGCTAACGTGTAACTAAGTTATGTATTCTGACAATGTTGATTTTAGCCAGCAACATGATGCTAACAGTACAAAGCTAACGGTTGCTTTCTGCTAGCCAAGAGTAAAATATCTGAAAAATCTAAAACTGCAAACTTCAGTAAATATCCAAAACAAATTCAATAAAATGTCCAATAACAATCAATAAAATATCCAATAACAATCAATAAAATGTCCAATAACAATCAATAAAATATCCAATAAAATGTCCAATAACAATCAATAAAATGTCCAATAACAATCAATAAAATATCCAATAACAATCCAATAACAATCAATAAAATGTCCAATAACAATCAATAAAATGTCCAATAACAATCCAATAAGAATCAATAAAATGTCCAATAAGAATCAATAAAAATGTCCAATAACAATCAATAAAATGTCAGATTTTTCTTTTCTTGTGAAAAAAAATAGTTTCAGGAAAATCCTCCATAAATATAAAAATATTGAGGATAAACGAACGAGCAACAGGACGCTGAGTGCAGTTCACTGAAGGGCCACTGGGGGCGCTGTTAGCTGCAGTTCAATGACAGTTACAGTCTATGTAGCGGCGCTGGTTGAAGGTTACCTGGAAGCAGGTGAGCAGCGCCTGCGGGAAGGCGTCGAAGGTGCTGCGTTTGGTCTGCGTCTCGTCGAAGTTGAACTTCCCTCCAAACAGCTGCATGCCGAGCAGAGCGAAGATGATGAGGAAGAGGAACAGCAGCAGCAGCAGGGAGGCGATGGACTTCATGGAGTTCAACAGGGACGCCACCAGATTGGACAGAGCCGTCCAATGGCTGAGCAGACAGAGAGTGACATCAGAGGGGGGAGGGCTCAGTCTGTTAGCTTTAGCATCAGTCTGTTAGCGTAGCATCAGTCTGTTAGCTTAGCATCAGTCTGTTAGCTTTAGCCTCAGTCTGTTAGCATTAGCATCAGTCTGTTAGCTTTAGCATCAGTCTGTTAGCTTAGCATCAGTCTGTTAGCATTAGCATCAGTCTGTTAGCATTAGCATCAGTCTGTTAGCTTAGCATCAGTCTGTTAGCATTAGCCTCAGTCTGTTAGCATTAGCTGCCGGTGCCCTCGGGTCAGCTCAGGTGTGTTTTCTCACCGTGTCACCTTGAAGATCCTGAGCAGGCGGACGCAGCGCAGCACGGAGATCCCCAGAGGAGGCATGATCTCCAGCTCCACCAGGATCGTCTCCACGATGCCGCCGCACACCACGAAGCAGTCGAAGCGGTTGAAGAACGCCACGAAGTAATGAGCCAGACCCAGACTGTACATCTTCAACAGCATCTCCACCGTGAACAGAGACAGCAGCACCTTGTTGGCGATGTCTGCACACACAGTTAATCCCAACAGTCATACACAGATCCAGTTATTAAACTGATCACTAATGATCAGCGATCCAGTTATTAAACTGATCACTAATGATCAGCGATCCAGTTATTAAACTGATCACTAATGATCAGCAATCCAGTTATTAAACTGATCACTAATGATCAGCAATCAGTTATTAAACTGATCACTAATGATCAGCAATCCAGTTATTAAACTGATCACTAATGATCAGCGATCAGTTATTAAACTGATCACTAATGATCAGCGATCCAGTTATTAAACTGATCACTAATGATCAGCAATCCAGTTATTAAACTGATCACTAATGATCAGCGATCCAGTTATTAAACTGATCACTAATGATCTGTAATGTTATCTGATGGGAAGATGAGATCTTCCTTTATTGACCGTGGTTGCCGAGCACTTCAGCGCTACATAAAGTTGATCCTTTAGAACTTTTAAATTTTTTGACGAATACAAGTTCTTGTGTGTGTCACCTTGAACCTGCGTCAGCCAATCAGGTTGGTCGTAGTGCTCGGAGGCGCTGAGGGACGTGTTGAGGAAGACGAGCAGCAGAACGAGCCAATAGAACGTCACCGATTTCACAGCAGTGCGACAGTTCCTGCGACAGA